AAGCTATGCTTTCATTTATAGTACTACATTCCAGATTCTTCTTTGCCAAATGCTAATTTCAACTCCACAGTAAGAGAGGGCATCTTTGCACACTTTCCAAATATGCTATGATGCATTGTTTTGCTATCATCTGTATCCCTGTTTCAAGGCAAAATGTATTTATTACAAAGTCATTCTATGAGAGAGGTCTCACTAAGTAACCCTGAATGGCCTGGAATTTGCAATATAGGCAAGAGTGACCTCAAACTCACAGATATCCACCTGCATTTGCCTTCTGAGTGCTGGGATTAAAGTCATAGGCCACCATATCTGACTATAAAGTCCTTTTGATGCTTAAGAAGTCAAAGTTCTGCCAGGCAATGGTGGCACCCATCTTTAATCCCAGCACTCAGGAGGCAGAGGCACATAGATCTCTGAGAGTTTGAGGCCAGCCTGGTCAACAAAGCAAGTTACAGGACAGTCAGAGCTGTTGCACAGAGAAACCTGTCAAAAAAAAAAAGCGCCACAATTCTATCATTCTATCCCATCTTTCAATTTATAGCAGAGTAATGACATGGGAAAATAATGAAAACTTCAGCCTCACTGACACAGGTAGTACCCCTATCCAACCACCCCCACACACACACACACACACACACACACACACACACACACACACACACACCAGTCTAAGGAAATGGAGTTGTTTTCAAACATCTCCAGGTACTTCTGTGCCTCTTTAAACAAGATGACAAGATGAAACAGATGTGACATGCCTCTTTCTTGATGGCATTCAGAAAGAGCCAACAGACTTGGAACTAGGAAGGGGTTTCAACACCTAGGTCAAAATACACAGGGGGAAGATTGTATTCAGTCCATTGCACCACCTGGATCTTGCTGTTTGTTTTGAGACAGGATCTCTAGATTTAGTCCTAGCTATGCTGGAATTTACTGTGCAGATCAAGCTGGCCTAAACCTCAGGGTTCCTCCTGCTTCTGCCTGAAATTAAGGGCTGACACCACCATGCCCAGGGATCTTGCTGCCTTTTAAGACAAATCACCACATTCCTTAAAATTGTTTTACAAATTAGGTCAAAGAACACCAATAAAGTGCCTAGAGTTGTGCTCTGGCTGCTTCACAGAGTTCCATGAGAGAGACATTAGTTCCTTCCTGCCCTGTCAGGACACATTTGAATAGCCAAGTTGATGGCTCCAGCCTCAGTATCTCTGCGAACACTCTCCAGAAGAGGCCTCTGAGAAAGGATAAACACAAGTCTACGATAGGTCTAGAGTCTTGTTTTCTTTTCCCTGTTAAAAAAATGTCATTGTATTTACTACATATTTTTTTTTCTATTACTGTGACAAATTCCTTGGCCAAAAGTAACTTGGAGAGGAAAAGCCTTATTCATCTTACAGTTTACAGCCATCATTGAGGGAAGTCAGATTAGGAAATCAGACAAGGCGTCTGGAAGTAGGAAATGAAGCAGAGACCATGGAGGAATGCTGCTTACTGGTTTTCTTGCTCTCCATGGCTCACTCAACCTGCCTCTTTATACTACCCGGAAGCATCCACTCAGAGGTGGTACCACCCTAATGCACTAGGCCTTCTGATATTAATCATTAATCAAGAAAGTACCCTGGCAGAACAATCTGAAGGAGGCATGTTTTCAATTAAAATTCACTCTTCCCAAATAATTTTAGTTTGTGTGAAGTTGACAAAATTAACCACTACAATTGATCCCTTGTCAGTTTGATACAAACACTCATTCATCACTGTTGAACCCTGACCTTTTCCTCATTTCTCCCTCAAAACACAGTATAACTTTACAAGTTTTATAAACTTTCCAAAGGTCAAAGAGTAGTACCACTTTAAAATTTCAGTCTTTTCAAAGTATTTATCTCTTTCTAACTCCAAAGTGTCTTAACTCTGGGTAAAATAAAAAGTAACTTACATATTTACTTCCAAGAGAGAAAATAGAGGGCACAGTAGCAATCAGACCAAAGTAAAACCAAACTCCAGGAGTGTAAATCCAATCCTGTAGCTCAGTGCCCAAGATCTTGGACTCCTCCGACTCTTCTGAGCTCCAGCGAACTTGGACAGCTACACCACTCTGGGTCCACCATCCATTTCACACATAGCTTGTCTTACAGGCTCAGGCAAGCTCCACTCCACACCTTCCATGTCCTTGCTGGTCATCCCACAGTATTACCATCCCAAACACTCAGGAGTCGTCACTACAATTGAGGCCGAATAGTCTCCTGGCCTCTCTTCAGGGACTCTGACCCTGCCACACAGTGCCAAGTCTCACTTTCTCTACATGAAGTATGGGTTATTGATTGCACATAATAGACAACGTAGATATGACAATGGTGTTAAGAGATAAAGGTACACATGAAATAATTTAGAACTAATATATTGATTTACATATGTAAACCCAAAATCATAAAATATATTATTTACTAATCTCACTAAAAAATACTTGGCAACTCTGTACTATAACGGCCTGCCTTAATTTCCTAAGCTAACCCTGAATTTTCATACACCATTCTCTTTTTTCCTTTGTTACTTTTACTCAATGTATGGTGATTTTGCTTCTTCTATTTTATTCTAAATGTCAGATTTGTCTTAGTTATTCTAAGACATACATTTTAACCTATACTGGATTCAGAAAAAGATTAAATAATAGAAGACTTAATTTTTTTTTACATATATGAGTATTTTGCCTGCATGTCTGTGCACCACTTATATACCTGGTGCCCATGGAGACCAGGAGGCAGTACTGGATCCCCTAGGACTAGAGTTACAGATGGTTGTGAGTTGCCATGTGGGTGCTGGGAATTGAACCTGGGTCCTCTAGAAGAGCACCTGGAGCTCCTACCTGCTGAACCACTTCTAATCCCAAATATCATACATCATATAAAGAAAACTCAGAGGAAAAGCAAACCTTCCAACATTCTTCAAGAACCAAATACCACCTTATCTGTGAAATGTAGTGCTGGTGGTCCCTGGTGACCTTGTCCCCCCACTTCTGTTTGTGTCTTCTGCTTCTGGCAGAACTCCCAAATCTTCTTGAGACTTTAATATTGTTGTGCTAGATCATTTATGTCAACTTGACACAAGCTACAGTCACCTGAGAGGAGGGAAGCTCACTGGGAAAATGCCTGTACAAGATCAGGTTATAGGCAAGCCTGTAGGGCATTTTACTAATTAGTGTTTGATATAGGAGGGCCCAGCCCATTGTGGGAGGTTCCACCCCAGGACTTGTGGTCCTGAGTTCTATGAGGAACAGGACAAACAAGCCATGGAGAACAATCCAGTAAGCAGCAGTCCTCCACATCAGCTCCCAACTATGTTCCTACCCTATTTGGATTCCTGGCCTGACTGCTTTCTGTGATAGAACAGAGTGATATGGAAGAATGAGGAAAATAAACCCTTTCCTCCTCAAGTTACCTTGGGTTGTGGTGTTTCACCGCACCAATCTGCCTAATTGGTACCAGGAGTAGGGTATTTAAATGGTAGACCTGGTCGTGTAGTTTTAGGAAGACTGTAGATAGACTTTGGGATTTCTGGTTGGGAAAGCTATTGAGTGCTGAGAGTTCAGTAAACTACTCTGTGGGAGCTTGAAAGATAAGAGTATTTGAAGGTGGGGTGTTAATGAGTTTACTAGACCCAAGATAAATGATAAATGGGTGTTTTATTGGGGAACAACATACACAGATAACAATAAAGAATCATCATGGCATTCTTGCTGCAGAAGATGTAGTCTCATGGCTTTAGCTCCTCCAGCATGTCTTGCTCTCTGCACCTCCCGGCAATTTCTCTTACTCTTCTTTTCTTCTTTCCAGCATTCTCAATTTGGTTCTCCCACCTAACCTGATTCTGTTCAGCTATTGGGTAGTTGGCTTCTTCATTAAACCAATCAAAGTAATACATATTTACCATGTACAAAAGGATTATTCCCCCACAATTTTGAAGTTTTAGAGACTGTATTTTTAGAGAGACTATATTTAAAAAGAAACTGGATATATTAAATTCGTTGAATTTTTAAAGTGTCTGAATTTGTATTTATAAGTTTGTAGTATGTTTTGTATTGTGATACTTATTAATATGAAATCTTTCTGATAAATTAACAAAGGAAGGTTATTGTTAAATAGTGTGTGTCAAGCGATAAGAGGTCAGTTTTGCTGGCTAAATTTAAGGTCAACTTGACACAAGTTATAGTCATCTAAGAGAAGGGAACCACAACTAAGAAAATGACTCCATAAGATCAGGCTGTAGGCAAGCATGTAGGGCATTTTCTTATTTAGTGATTGATGGGGGAAGGACACAGTCAATTGTGAATAGTTCTACTCCTGGGCTTTCCCTGACTTCTATAAGAAAACAGGCTGAGTAACTCATGGACAGTAAGCCAGTAAGCAGCATTATTCCACAGCCTCTGCGTCAGCTCCTTCCTCCAGGTTCCTGCCCTGTTTGAGTTCCTGGCATGACTGCCTTCTATGATGAACAGTGATGTAGACAGAAAGCCAAATAAGTATTTTCCTCCTCAACTTGCTTTTCGTTATGGTGTTTCATTACACCAATAGTAACCCTAAGACAACTGTTTTCATTGTTTACTTTGTAGATATGGGTCTTGTTCACACTACCACTAGACTACAGCTCTTGCACTATTTTGCTCTTGTTTTTCAGACAGGAAAGCCATAACTGAGTCACTGAGCTTAAGTGATAACAAGAATTCAACTAGCTGCAATTATTTTCTGTATGGCAGTTATTTTAACCATGAAAAAACAATCTTAGCATGCACATAGTTCCGATTAAATATCGTGTTAACTGGATAACATTAAAAATCAAATGACTTCACTCACTTTTCCATTACTTGAATTATAAAATTAGGTAGACGTATATTTTTTAAACATTAAAATGACCAAGATAGAAAGGCACTAACCCTCATCCATTGAGGATAATTTCTTTTGGTTAGGCACAGTCAGTAAACAAAGCTGCTCATGTTATATTTGGCACCATACCTGTCCTGTGTATGCAAACTCCAGAGCCTGCTTTAAGCCCAGGCTGGTCACACCATGTAAATTTACTTCATCAGCTCCACTTTCCACCATACAAAGACTGAACATTGCCTGAAACGTGGAAAGAAAAAAAGAGACAAGACTGAATTATGAGATCTAAAGAGCAAGAAGGATAATGTCCTAGGGAAACTGGGAAATAGAGGTTTTCAGTTAAAACGTAATTTTGGTTTCTGAAACACTTTGACAAAGCTTCATTTGCACAAACCTCTGAATTTACCTGATAGTCAAACAGTTACAGTAACATACACACACACACACACCAAGTATCTCTTACCACACTCATTCCAGGCAATAGTATCTAGGCTCACTGACCTTATTTTCTGTATCTGGGATCAAATGGTGGCCATCTTGAACATTCTGCCCAATGAATGCAAGAGTCAGGTCTTTGCTGATGTCATTGTCTTTGTGATCTTGTTTCTGGATACCCATCAAATACTCCTTGCTTTTTTCTGTTTCAGTTACCAACAGCCAAATATAACTTGACAATTTCCATATAGAATACCAAAAACAAACCATCCATAAGTTTTAAATTCTGCACAATAGCAGGATGAAATCTGCAATGTACACCCCTTTGGTCACTGCATCCATGTTGTATGCTCTACCCACTCATTAGTCACCGAGGAGCCATTACAGACATCAGATCAGTTGGCATGGGATCACAGACCAGCCTAACCCAGGTTGTAACATCTTGACTAATATCATCAATCTGTATCACATCATTCAAGCAACTATATCATCTCACATTACAAGAAAGATAACTTCAGAACAATAAAACATATTGAGGGGTGGCATAGGCACATTATTTTTATTATCTAATTTAACATCAGATATTGTTTTAAGCTCTTATTATACCTAACTTACAGAGCAAACTTTTCATGGTTTATATGAGAAAAATAAAAAAAAATATACTCGGTTTAGCACTATATATGACTTCAAGCATCTGCTCACAGTTCTTTTGAATATGTTCTCCACAGATAAAGGAAGACTAACTTATATACAAATGAAAGGAGATCTGCATCCAAAAGGGGAATCAGCATATGCATGCCCACCACAGCATTATTCATAATTTAGAAGGCATGGAAACAACCTAAGAACTCATGAATACATATTCACATGCATCCATGCTAAAGGAAACTATTCAGACTTGGAATGCAAGGAAATCTCATTTTACACTGCCTAAAGGATATAGTACTAAGAGAATAAACAAAAGACAGACAATAAAAAGGCCTCACTCATATGTGGAAATTCTAATAGTCAAACCTAGGTGCAGAGGGCAGAATGTGTTGCCAACGGCGAGATGAAAGGAAAATGGGAAGACAGGACTAAAACAAAAAATACAAAGTTGCACTTACCCAAGATGCAAAGGTTCTAAGGACCAGATACACAACAATGTGACCACAGTTAACAATGATGTATTGAATCACGAAGATTTATCAGAAATTTAAGTGGACTCACTCAAAGAGAGGGGAGAGAAAGGAAAAAAGACCTGAGCGAGAAGAAAAAAATTGGGTAGAGAGGAGGTGGGAAGAGAATAGTAATAACTGCATGAACTCGCCAGGCGGTGGTGGTGCATGCCTTTAATCCCAGCACTCGGGAGGCAGAGGCAGGCGGATCTCTGTGAGTTCGAGGCCAGGCTAGACTGACAGCCTCCAAAACAATGCAGAGAAACCTTGTCTCGTAAAAACCAAAATAATAATAATAATAATAATAATAACTGCATGAACTGATAAATGGGTCATTAGCTTGACTGTGACAACTCCCCAATGTGCAAATCTATGAGTATATCATTTTGTACCCTTGTAATATATGTATACTTTATTTTTCAATAAAACTGAAAGGGGAACCTAACTATTGCCATCCCATTGCTCTCAAGGTGGTGGAGCATGGTGCAGAGGGACAACCTAAATATGAACACTTGAACCTGAATTTGGGCAAGCACTTAATGTCTCAGTCAGCTCTCTCATCTGAAGAATGGGACTAAAACCTGTATCCATTTTATGGGGGCAGGGGTAGAAGGACGGCTGAGTGGTTAAGAGAATGTACTGCCTCAGATCCTCCAAGTACAACCCCCATTCCCATCCTTACCTCTGCAGCAGGCAATCTGCTAAGGCTTCCCCTTCCCCTCTCCCCTGTCTCCAGAGGATCACACAGATCCTCCCTCCTATAGTGAAAACTTTAAAAGTCCTTTGCTTTTACATTTTTTGCTCAGAGTTCAAAAAAGGAACTACAAATAAGCGAGGGGACTAAAATCTGAGGGAAAAGGGATTTGCACTCACAGACAGTTGCTGCTCTGCATGTTCCTATATTTTTCTCCTGCTCTCTTTCTCTCTTGTTCTCCTTCCTCATCTCTCTGTTTCTCTCTCTCTCTCTCTTTCTCCCCAGTTCTTGGGGGTACAGGTGTATATGCATTTACAACAGTAATTCTTTTTGCAATACAACGTGAGGCTTGAGTTTCCCAGGGCAGCAAGGCAGATAAGATTTACACACAGAGCAATAAACTAAAACTGCTAGGAGAAACTTTTTTTTAAAGATTACTACGTATACAGCGTTCTACCTGCATGTATGCATACACACTAGAAGAGGGAACTAGATTTCATTATAGATGATTGTGAGCCACCTTATGATTTCTGGGAATTGAACTCAGGACCTCTGGAGGAGCAGCCAGTGCTCTTAACCTCTGAGTCATCTCTCCAGTCCTAGGAAAAACTTTTAGCATCAATTGCTTAGGGCCGTATGTCAAGGAGAGGGTCTAAGTTTAATTTGCACAAGAAATAAAACCTGGCCCTTCCAGTGCTCTGGCCTCAGTGGTGGCACAAGCCTTCAGGAAAGTTTACTTTTCCCTGAGAATGAGCAAAAGGGCTGATTCCCTTTGTCTTTATCTGCTCAGGGGAAACAGAAGGGAATAGTAAATCTCTGAGCTATGATCTTGAGTTAATAAAACAAGAAGTTCGAGAACCTTTTAGTGCAGGATTAGTTTAGGTTATTGTTTCTCAATCTGCCAGTGAGGTAAAACCTGGGCATGCTTATTTTTTCTATCCACCTAGGTCTCTATGAATCAACAGCTTTGAGCATGTAGTAATTCTATGCCCTTGGGTATCCAGAGATGTCTTAGATGAAATACTTTTGTTGGGAAGTAAACATTGACCAAATGCCTGTCCATAAGGATAACTGCAGGAAGGCAGATCTCTGCCTTCACAATGGAGAAGAGAACAAGGACTGGATAGTGGGGAAACAGGCCTCACACATAACTAAGAGATGTAATCAGTAAAATTGGACCTGGTAATGGAGAACAGGTTTTGCACATAGCTAGGGAGTAGAATCAGTAAACTACAAATGCATGGGAGAATTTGCTTCCAGGAAATGATCAGATAGTGCTGAACTGTGGGAAGTAAATCCCAAGTTTGTAGTAGAAAGGAATACACTACAGAAAGAATCTACAGCAAGAAACAAGTCAATTCATTCACAAGACTATAACACCAAATACAACTTTTGTATTGGTTTTATCCATCAGGAGAATTCTTAATTCTTCTGAGTTGTCTCATGATATGAAGCTATATAATTACTGTATGATTTTGCAGCTTGTAGCACTCCTAACTTCCTCCCCCCCCCCATCCCCACCCATTAAAAGTAAGCTCCCAGCTCCCAACTCCAGCAGACATTCCCTGGAAAGCCTCAGAGCACTCCTGCCAGGGAAGCAGGGAGGCAGGGAGGCTAGCTATAGACCTTCACCCCTCAGCTCCTCCCAATCCAAACCTCCCAGTCTTATTCCCCAGCTGTGGAACAGACCACCTCCAGCAGCATCTTTTCCTACCCTACATCTGAGTGTATCACACAGATCTTTCCCTGCAAACTTCCTCCCCCCTAGCTCATTGCTCTGTCCTGACCCTCAACTCTAACAGGCTTTCTCTGGGAACACATGGGCCACTTTAGCCAGCAAAGCAGGTGGACTAACTGCAGATCTTCAACTCCGCCTCCATTCCACCAAGTGCAATCCCATATCTCATTTCAACCTCCATAGCTAACCAACTACTGTGACTCTCCGCACTCTCTGCCCCAATCCCAAGATGGGTCTAAGCAAATCCTGGTGGAACACCCTGCTTTCCTTCTTCCTGGGAACCCACTCAGCCTCTGCAACCTACCAAATACCCATTCCTAAGTGAAAGTTTCCAATACCTAGAAACACATTTTACCTAGACCCCTCCCCTTATGAACATATCTATCAGGATCCCAGAAGAATTGTCCTAATATTCAACACATAGCTATCAAACTCTCCTAAAAACCAGAGAGGAAACAGAAACCAAGAAGCAAAACACTCACCCAACAAAGACAAGACCACATTTTGGCACCTAGAATTACAATCTTCTCAAACCCTGATGCCTAGACAGCAGCATAAAAACACAACCAATAGTAGCCAGGACAATATGTCTTTAGTGGAGCCTAGGACCCCTGTCACAGCAAGTCCTGAGTATTGCAGCATAGCTGAAGCACAAGACAAAGACCACAATCAATCTTTATGAAAAGGATAGAGGTCCTTAAAGAGAAAGTGAATAAATCTCTTAAGGAATTCTATGAAAACACAGTCAAAGAAAACCAATAAAACTATTCAAGACCTGAAAGTGGAAATAGACTCAGTAGAGAAAACCCAAACTGAGGGAAATCAGGAAACAAAAATTTAGAAACTTGAACAGGAACCTCAGAGTCAAGCTTCCAGCAGAAAACAACAAATGGAAAAAAGAATCTCCAGCATTGAAGACATGATAGAATAAATGGAAACCTCACTCAAAGAAAATGTTAAATCTGAAAAACTCTTACCACAAAACATCCAGGAAATCTGGGAAACTATGAAAAGACCAAACCTAAGAATAATAGGAATGGAGGAAGGAGAAGAAACACAGGTCAAAGGCACACAATCACTTGATTAGGTTGCATATAACTTCAGTCAGTAGGTCAGACATTTTCTTGTAGCCTCCATGGACACCTGTGCTCATGTGTGTGTGTGTGTGTGCACGTGCACACACACACACACACACACACACACAATTAAAGACAAT